CATTAACAGAATTAGAAGGTGTCCACTTGAAAACACAGAAAAAAATGTTTTTGGTCAAATTTTGGCCCAGCCTAATGTTTATTCTACATCTGAAATGTAGATTATACATCTTCAATGTCGGTTCTGCATCTTCTCTGCGAAAGGTGGCGCATTGCAAAGGGCAGAGTGTGTGCGAGCGATAAAGAGAATAAGTAGCGTAGTCTCGTGCTGGAGGTGGTGGGGGAAGCAACTGCAAATTAATTTCTTTACTCTGGCTATAATATTGATCCGATCTGATTCAAATTCAGATTCGGCAATCTGGTAGATATGCTCATTTTCTACGATACTACGCTTTTACTTTTCTGGTATCTTTAAAATTGTGGCTGCCAACAGATTTTCGTCCTTTGTGGCGGCAGAAGGGGGCGAAGCGGAGTGTGATATCACATGACTCTGGAAACAAAATTTGGTGGCTCTAGCTCTTATAGTCTCTGAGAACTAGGCGCTCATCAAAACGGACAGACGGACGGATACACAGTTATGGCTATATCTTCTCGGCTATTGATGCTGATCCAGAATATATATACTTTATGGGGCTGCAAATTTTTCCTTCTCTGCGTTACACATATCCACTTTTACCACAAATCTAATATACCCCTGAACTCCTTAACCCCTTAACTATTTTTGAGTACGGGTATAATAAAAATAAAATGCGGAGCGCAAAACAAAATCACGTTGGTCACTACACTATAAATTTGTAGAACAAAATCTGTGTGTAAGCTGCTACATATCTCCGCAACGCGTTCACCAAATTGCATTTTGTTTTTTTTTTAATGATAGCTAGAGTATGTGGCATTGTTTCTGTATAGAAGTTTTTACTTTTCTATATATAAGTTCTTCAAAAAGTTATTAAGCTTTCAAATTGAAATTTCATCATTTTTTGCGGTATTTTTTTCTTCAAAATTTTGACTTTAAAAACTCGGGAAAAGTCGAAAAAAATAATTCTTGGCCAACATTTTTAGTTTTAGAAAGACGCATTAATTAGGCGTCGTTTAAGGTATTGTTCATTAAAATCTATGGATAAACGGTCAACTTGCAGCGGTTTGACCAAAACGACTCTAACCTTTAAAAAAATGTTACCTGAAAAATATCGTTTCTGGTCCAATGCCAAACGAACACGTTCAGGTACCAAAAATTCAACCCATTTTTGTTTGCTTTGTTTCCAATTGGCAGTTGGCCCGCAACCTTCCAAAAAGTATTTTTTGTCTATTTTTTCATGTTTTAGGACTGGCTAACGAATTTTAGCTCCACCGTTTATCCATAATTTTAATGAACAATACCTTAAACGACGCCTAATTAATGTGTCTATCTAAAACTAAAAATGCATACTTTCTTTCGACTTTTCCCGAGGTTTTAAAGTCGAAAATTGGAAAAACTACCGAAAAAAATTATGAAATTTTAATTTGAAAGCTTAATATCTTCCAGGCGTTAAGCTGAAGATACAAAGTGTCTGGGTCCGATTTAAAGCTGCTGTCAGCTTTTCAGAACTGTAAAGTTCTATTCAACCAAAAATAAAATACTTAAGTTATGTGAAAAATAGAAGCACTACCTCTAAAAAAAAACATTAAAAAAATACCAGATTTTAAAAAATTCTTTAAAAATAAACTACATCATAAAAAAAACCATAATTCGTTAAAAATTGTTAAACCCCGAAATCTATAAGAAAAGTTATTTTGGGCCACAGCCTAATTCTCGTGTTGACTAGTGTAATTAAAAAACGCAAGAACAAACGAAGTCGGCTTTCCAACACGCTAACCGTGTGAAAAACAGGGCCAGACTTCCAAAGATTGGCCTTGCGATTTATTGATTATCATCGCAAAGGCTTATCGAACGGGAAACTAAAGCCTTTTGAATGGAATTAGTGGGATAAGGGCTAACTCTTCTTTGAATTTGCCATTGATTACACTACTCGACAAAATCGACCTTTTTTTTTCCTCAAGGATCCAAACCGACTTTTTCTGATAGATATGGGGATTTCAAAATTTTTTAAGAATTATGGTTTTTTTTCTATGGCAGAACTTTTTTTGAAGAATTTTTTAAGTCTGGTATTTTTTTTTAAAGCTTTTTTCAAAGGTAGCGCTTGTTTTTTTCACATAGCTCTAGTATCTTACGTCTGCTTGTAAAGAACTTTGCTATTTTGAAAAGATAATTAAATCTATGGAGAAAAACAGCTAAAATTCATTACGAACCTAAAAAATGGAAAAAAAAAACAAAAAATACCTTTTGGAAGGTTGGCCCAATTCCCATTGGAATTGGGAATTCAGGTCGCAAATGTTACAACCCTTTTTCGTTTGCTTTGTTCCCAATTGGCAGTTGGGCCCGCAACCATCGAAAAGGTATTTTTTGTTCATTTTTTCCATTTTTTAGGTTTGGTTAACGAATTTTAGCTCCAAAGTCTCTCCATAGATTTTAATCAGCGATACCTTGAACGACGCCAAATTAATGCACCTATACACAAAAAAATAGAGGACACAGAATATAATTTTTTTTTGACTTTTCCTGAGTTTTTAAAGTCAAAATTTCGTAAAAAATACCGCACAAAAATCATAATTTTTGCATTTCAATGCTTCATATTTCCCAGACGGTAAGCTGTAATCACAAAGTGTTTGGGCTTAACTTCTAGCTGTTTTAATTATCTTTTCAAAATAGCAAAGTTCTTTACAACCAGACGTAAGATACTAGAGCTATGTGAAAAAAACAAGCGCTACCTTTGAAAAAAGCTTTAAAAAAAGATACCAGACTTCAAAAATTCTTCAAAAAAAAGTTCTGCCATAGAAAAAAAAAAATATTATCAAACCATTTCTAAGTCCCAAATCTTTAAGAAAAAGTTCGTTTTGTTCCTTGAGGAAAAATCGTGTTGACTAGTGTTATCACCGCTTGAGTCACATTGTTCATCCGTTTCTTGACGGACAACCTCTTACCGTTGCACAATTTCGGATGATTCAGATTCCGCAACATGGTTATGATTGATCACACCTTCAGTAGTAAATTATACGGCGGAGTTCCTGGCGCATCAATTCAGTCCGAAAATTCCGTGGGATCGTTTATCGCTTCATCCTCGTCGGTCATGCTGTCTACGGATTTGTATGAATGCAGCTCTCTAGCGATTTGATCTTTAATAATGGAGTTCAAACTGTCGACATCCTTATTTTTCGCTGCTAGTATTGCCCGTTCACTAATCCAATCAAGATTTTTATAATTTTGTGCAATGCCGGGGAACACGTTAGTGATTAGTTTCTCCTTCGACGATATAAAATCGCAAAAATCGCTCGGCCATTGCCAAGCGCCAGCAGTTATCTCGAAAATTCAGTAGCTGATGGGCCGTTCTGCAACCCTACTCTTTTGTTTGTTGTCAACTCCAACTTCTTGACGTTGAAAGTCGCGATTGAATGCATCGTGCATCGAACGATTTGGCTCTGGAATTCCCAATGTTGACATCAGGCTGCCGCACATGAACACGCACATGTCTTCGCTAATAACTAAAGCTTCGTTGCGCATTTCGTTTTTAATTTCAAGATTGAAATTCAAATTTGTCGTGCGAACTCTGTGCAAAATGTCGTCTGCCATCTCGTCCATCCGGTCCAGCCATCTCAGCCAATGTGGTTGCATCGGCGAGCGTTGAGTCCCAATTTGTATCGTTATCGAGCAAATTTTAATTCCGGAAAAGTGGCGCACAGCACGCCATCCACAGTACGCAAGGAAGCAAAGGATGTAGGGCCTCTAATGTTCACTAAAAAATCAAGCGATGATCTTGAGCGCACTCATGCATGTGGCGCCGGCTTCCGACATAAGTATCTGGGAGAATGGCAAAACAACCTATTTTGGAGGAGTTTCCTTCAGTAGCGATGGCGTCACGCAAGTGGATGTACTCTTTTGATCGTATCTTCGACTGATTAAAACGAATGAAATTGTCTGCTCTGATAATGATTTTGTGGACGTCAGAATGCATTGTATCCAATGCAGTTTTGAATAATCTGAACAATTCATAATGTTCATGCAGAAGATTTTGCAATTGGTTTATTATTTCACGTTTAGTTGCAGTAAAAATTACACAACGTTCTATTGTTGAATATCCAATGAAATAGATCTGAGGGAACTTTTGATCTTCGTTTGGTGGTGGTAACAAAGCGCCCACCCGATTGTGAATTTTCCCTTGAATCTGAATGTTTTAAAGCAATTTCGAAAATAATAAACATGAGAATTGTTCCTGTTGACGCCATTACCTTATAACTCGGATTGTATCCGGGTTAACCAACAACTTCGGCTCCAAATGACGTCATTTGAAAGCATCCGTTATATTTGTATGTATTCGACAGGAAATGTTTCGATTTCCATAGAGAAACGTTTACAATGGCTCTGGCGGATGAGTCAAAACGCTAAATTTTACCTTTCCACCAGCGCAGCATATGCCGGGGTTTCCGATTAAAACTTTAATGCATTGTAATGCTGGCATACGACAGACAATGAACCGATATCAACGCAGCGAAGATATTGGTAGGCTATTGCGCAATCGTATTCGAAAGCAGCGCGATTCATGTCTACTGGTCGAACTAGAGGTGGTAATTGTGCAGCGCGAACCTGTGCAATATGGGCACGTCTCCATTAATTTACTTCTGCACGTTCCTCTTGCGTTAGATTAATAGAGACATTCCGATTATTTATTTCACGACGTGAACAAACCTTGGACGGTTTGATCGTCTAATGGCAGGCATATTATAACTGAACTGATGAATAATATCTCGAGTTTGGAACTCATCTTCAACCATGACAATTGGTTTTTTTTCATAAATACATTCTTCTGTCAAATACGAACAACTGAATAAATGTTTAAACCAAATATGCACAACCGTTCTTACGTGATGATGCACTATAAATTTGTATCTCTCCATTTTCATATATATGATATAATCAGGCAGGCTTCGGCTTTCACTTTCACAAAAAAAATGTGATTTGCTTTTCAAAACGAAAAATCCGGCGCTCCCGCACTCGTAAATCGCATGACTTTTCCGTTTTCAAAACGTCAACAAACTCCTCGCCGAAATGAAAAGTAAACAAATAAACTAATCTTAATTACAAAAGAAAAACGAGAAGGAACGTGTGAGTCGTTTCTGGGGACACGACTCTACTTATACCCGTACTCAGTCAATATATACATTATTGAGCTTATGATTTTTTAGAATTTTAGAAAAAAAAAAAAATTTTACATTTTACATTTTTTTGCTACATCTGCTATCTACATCTACATATACAATGTCTATTCTACATCTAACATGTAGATTGTACATGTTCCATTCATATTCTACATCTCCTCCGCTAGGGGTTGCTCGCGCACTGAACGCAGCAGAGTGTGCGAGCGAGAAGGAAAATGAGTTGCGTTGTCGTGCGCGGGAGGGGGAGGGGAAGCAACTGAAAATTAATTTCTTCATTCTGGCTATGATCCGATCTGATTCAGATTCGGCAGTCTGGTAGATATGGTCATTCTCTACGATACTGCGTTTTTATACCCGTACTCAAAAAAGAGTTAAGGGGTATATTAGATTTGTGGTAAAAGTGGATGTGTGTAACGCAAAGAAGGAAACGTTTCCGACCCCATAAAGTATATATATTCTTGATCAGCATCAATAGCCGAGTCGATATAGCCATGTCTGTCTGTCCGTCCGTCCGTCCGTCCGTCCGTCTGTCCGTCTTGTTGAGCGCCTAGATCTCAGAGACTATAAGAGCTAGGGCAACCAAATTTGGTTTCCAGACTCATGTGATATCACACTGCTACAAGTGTATTTTAAAATTTCGCCCCGCCCCCTTCCGCCCACACAAAGGACGAAAATCTGTGGCAGGCACAATTTTAAAGATACGATAAAACTAAAAACGCAGTATCGTAGAGAATGCCCATATCTACCAGATTGCCGAATTTGAATCAGATCGGATCATAATCATAGCCAGAATGAAGAAATTAATTTTCTGTTGCTTTCCCCGCCCCCTCCGGCAAGAAAACTAACAACTGATTCTCTTTCTCGCTCGCACACTCTGCCGCGTTCAGTGCGCGAGCAACCCCTAGCTGAGGAGATGTAGAATCTAAATGGTACATGTATAATATACATGTTAGATGTATAATATACATAGTATATGTAGATGTAGATAACAGATGTAGCAAAAAAATGTAAATTTAAATTCAAAAAAATTATAATCTCAAAAATGTATATACTGACTGAGTAAGGGTATAAGTAGAGTCGCGTCCCCAGAAGCGACTCACACGTTCCTTCTCGTTAGTTTTATCGTATCTTTAAAAATGTGCCTGCTACAGATTTTCGTCTTTTGTGGTGGCGGAAGGGGGCGGGGCGAAATTTTGAAATACACTTGTAGCAGTGGGATATCACATAAGTCTGGAAACCAAATTTGGTTGCCCTAGCTCTTATAGTCTCTGAGATCTAGGCGCTCAACAAGACGGACAGACAGACATGGCTATATCGACTCGGCTATTGATGCTGATCAAGAATATATATACTTTATGGGGTCGGAAACGTTTCCTTCTCTGCGTTACACACATCCACTTTTACCACAAATCTAATATACCCCTTAACTCTTTTTGAGTACGAGTAATTTTCAGTTGTTTCCCCCGCCCCTCCTGCCGTGACCTCGATACCTATCTCTTTCTCGCTCGCACACTCTGCCGCGTTCAGTGCGCGAGCAACCCCTAGCGGAGGAGATGTAGAATCTAAATGGTACATCTATAATCTACATGTTAGATGTAGAATATACATAGTAGATGTAGATAACAGATGTAGCAAAAAAATGTAAAATTTAAATTTTTTTTTTAATTCTAAAATTTTCAATAATGTATATACTGACTGATTACGGGTATAAGTAGAGTAAGTAGAGAAAGACACGTTCCTTGTCGTTATAAATAATTTTTATTTAAGCCAATCTTAAAATAGGATTTAAAAAAATTGGTCAGGACAAAAACAAAAAGTGAATTTACAGCATTGGCAGCCCGATTTGGCTATCGATAAATCTCTGTTAAACATAACAGAGGCCTTTTTGTATGAGCTGGCACTGACGCGTGGGTATAACAGCAGTAAATTTGGCGCTTAAAGAGTAAATAAATTCACAAAAGTGGATTCCAGAAGTATGACTTTTTACTGAAAAGTAGAACGCAAAGTGAATGTGAAAACCGGAGCCTTCCTGAATATAATATACAATAACAACAATAACGTCTTTAAACGGTGCTACTGGCATTTTTCACTTTAACGCAATTTAAAGATTTTCGGTTTTAACTAGGTCCCAGTAAACAGAATTTCAAGAGAAGAATATGTTAAATTCTGTAAGACTATCTAAGAACAAGTATAATTTATAAGCCACCAACATTCTGGTAAGGAAGTAGAAGGGAATAAGTTTGGATGAATAATGTATTGCCAAAATAACAGCGATCTGTCCGCAAGGATATCGCCCTTTGCCCATTAAGATAGCATTCAGCATAGCTCGAGTATCCTGAAATACTATGATATATATAAAAAAAATGATTGTCAAATTTTGCAGACCTAATTACTGGTAATGTAAGTGACTCCTCAGACGACAGTTGCACGACAAAATTTGCAACTGATGAGCTTACTATGGCTGAAAAGTGTAGCTCTAAGGATCAAACTACAATACGACCTAATGTACAGCATCACTCATCTATAGTATGCATTAATAAGCAGCGTCGCTCACGTACAAACTTTACACTCGATCAGCTTAATGAACTGGAACGACTTTTTGAAGAAACACACTACCCTGATGCTTTTATGCGAGAGGAATTGAGTCAGCGATTGGCTCTTAGCGAGGCTAGAGTGCAGGTAATTATTTAAGCATTGGTAATAAATCGTCTTTAAAATTATGTGTCACGGAAATGTCCAAAACAACCCTGCTAAGCACCCTGAATACAAATTGATATTATATTTTTATCTTCATTATACTTGTACTAATGACAAAAAGACAAATTTTCTTGTCAAACAAAGCATGAATACAATGTATTGAGTTGGATTTTCAACCACCACCGTTCAAGAAGATATGGGGTGTTAAGTGGTTTCTTTCTACCCTTCGTCATAATAACGGCAAACAAGAAAATTGTTTTAGCATCAGGGGGCCGGTTAATGTTTAAATGTGGGATTTTCACTTTTTTTTTTAATTTCGGTCGAAAAGCGTTCAAGTTTGGCTCCGAATATCAAATATATATCAGATACTTGTTAAGGTTAATCATAAAGGTAAAACCTATTTAACAGGCGATGATGTAGTATGATATAAATCAATATGATACATGAAAATTAGTACAACTTAAAAACATTCCTTTCATTATATGACACCAAATTGTCAGCCACATGTACTACTACATATATGTATATAAGGAAACTTTTTAAATGGTAATCATTTCTCTCAAAAATAAGTCATTAGCTGCAAAGTCATACGCGTCACTATACAACCCAGTACTAAGTCGCTATTTATGTAATCTTATGATTTACATAGGTAACTATTAACATATAGTTTTGTCTTTACACCCAATTGTTACTTTATGGACTTGGAAATACTTCTTTCTGTCTTTTACATATTTTTGTACATCTACACGACTTAAATAGTAATATTTGATTACCGGGAACCAAAACCATGGCATCAAACCAGGAAAACTTGATCAGCGCTCTGTGGTGGATTTCCTACGATAGTTCTGGTGAACGCAGATGATTAGTGATTTTGATGTATAAATTCATGCATCAGATTTTAAGAAATTTATTTGATGTTCAAATGGATGCTTTTGCCACGATTTCACTGAACAATACAGTACATGTTTAATTATAGCACCAAGTATATGAATCAAATTTAAACAACAGGAAATAAAATTATACTTTTGATGAGTTTCTAAAGTATTTTAATTTAATTTTATTCAAGACTTTAATTTTAAAAACTATAGCCTAATAAAAAACTAAAATAAAAACTGATATAAAAATAAATTATAACGGATTTTTATGTACCTACTTTTAGGTTTGGTTTCAAAACAGACGGGCAAAATGTAGAAAACATGAAAGTCAAATTCATAAAGGTAAGCTTAAAAGACTTGTTAGGAAAAAAGTTACATATATAAATACTGTTAGCTTAGAGGGGCGACAATTATAAAATATTTTCTGACCTATTTTTCCTATTTCAGCTTTATGTAGGGGTTCGAAAATTATATACTTTATTACATCAATTTAAATACAGCGGTTATACGGTTTTAGCACTCATGTCTTCAACGACGATTCGTAACAACTGACTGTACTGTCAAAAGGGAGGCAAAACGCGAGAGAGACAGTGTTTTCGAGAAGGCAGCTCTGCGGCTTTGGCTGATGTAATACTCACCTATCCATTCGCGTACTTTTCAGCTATTTTTTTTTCTTTGTAATTAAGATTTAATTAGTTGTTTATTTTTCATTTCGGCGAGGAATTTGTTGACGTTTTGAAAACGGAAAAGTCTTGCGTTTTACGAGTGCGGGAGTGCCGGGTTTTTCGTTTTGAAAAGCAAATCACATTTTTTTTGTGACAGTGAAAACCGCGGCCTGTCTGATTATATCTATATACATATATGAAAATGGAGAGATACAAATTTATAGTGCATCATCACGTAAGAACGGTTGTGCAGATTTGTTGTTCGTATTTGACAGAAGAATGTATTTATGAAAAAAATTGTCGTAGTTGAAGATGAGTTCAAAACTCGAAAGATTATTCATCAATTCAACTATAATCAGGGGTGCCATAGAAATCGCTAGTGAAATGGGAAACCGCGCAGAGGATTTTCGCTTCAAAATTTCTGCCTTGCCACAGAATTCCGAGCGATTTCATTTTTCTTAGCATTGTCACAAACCAAATTCGAACTAAGCATAGGGTTGACACCTTTCAAGATTCAATTCGAATAGGGTTCATTTTTCTGTTTTATTGATTTTATCATATAAAAACAATTGGTTTTTCTTTTTTTTTCTTTTATGATATAAAATAATTGATTTTTCAAAGCTGTACTTTTATAATTTCAAAGCAAAAAAACATCCCATATCGTGCGAGTCAAACAAAATAATGTACTCCGCAACTCTAGCAGTTGTCTGGCAACTCTCCATGCATAGCAGCAATCAGCTGTTCAAAAAAACACACATCTGAATTGTACGGTAAACTTAACTAAAATGCTTTTACCGAGACTGTTGGCCATCGAAGAACTACATATTACAACAACATATTAGAATAGAATAGAATAGAATAGAATAGAATATTAGACTCGTTTTCGCGTTCAGATGATACGTATGTGGTTTCTGTGATTGTCTTCTCAAAGTACTGCTAATTTAGTTCATTACAATTACCAGTTTTTGGTATAATGAACGCTATGCTTCTATTTGAGCTGCCATGGGTCTGCGCTTAGGGGTTTTTGCCATAAATGCAATTGCAATAATGTGTAGAAATGGTTTTTTAGTTTTGTTTTGGTATTTTGAAGCGATGCCACCTGGTAGAACTACAAATGACTACAAATGTTTTCACAATTTGCACAAAAAGTATGCACACGTTTGACGTAAAGGAAGTGTTACTACAATGAGATATTTTTTGTAATGCTTAATTAAAGAAAAACAGAATGCTTTCAATATATTTAATATTAAATATATTTCTCCGAATTCGACTTAAAAAAGGTGGCATTACTGTATTAACTTCGAAAGTCCGAATCGCCCTAGGTGGCCACCTCGGTCTTAAGTGAAAATTCAGTCAGCGGATTGAAAAGTGATTTACTAAAATGCTTATTCTATTAACTTAACATGTATAATGTTAAATTATTTGGATGAGGGTTAACCACCAATTGAACAACCTTTAAGGGAAAGTAAGATTCGAATCGTTTTAGGTGTGTTTTATGGGTGTATTTAATCAAATTACTGGATAAAATAGACGATCAAACTTTGAACGATTTTCACGTCGTGAAATAAGTAATCGGAATGTCTCTATTAATCTAACGCAAGAGGAACGTGCAGAAGTAAATTAATGGAGACGTGCCCATATTGCACAGGTTCGCGCTGCACAATTACCACCTCTAGTTCGACCAGTAGACATGAATCGCACTGCTTTCTATCTATCTTCGCTGCGTTGATATCGGTTCATTGTCTGTCGTATGCCAGCATTACAATGCATTAAAGTTTTAATCGGAAACCCCGGCATATGCTGTGCTGGTGGAAAGGTAAAATTAAGCGTTTTGACTCATCCGCCAGAGCCATTGTAAACGTTTCTCTATGGAAATACCATCGAAACATTTCCTGTCGAATACATACAAATATAACGGATGCTTTCAAATGACGTCATTTGGAGCCGAAGTTGTTGGTTAACCCGGATACAATCCGAGTTATAAGGTAATGGCGTCAACAGGAACAATTCTCATGTTTATTATTTTCGAAATTGCTTTAAAACATTCAGATTCAAGGGAAAATTCACAATCGGGTGGGCGCTTTGTTACCACCACCAAACGAAGATCAAAAGTTCCCTCAGATCTATTTCATTGGAGATTTAACAATAGAACGTTGTGCAATTTTTACTGCAACTAAACGTGAAATAATAAACCAATTGCAAAATCTTCTGCATGAACATTATGAATTGTTCAGATTATTCAAAACTGCATTGGATACAATGCATGCTGACGTCCACAAAATCATTATCAGAGCAGACAATTTCATTCGTTTTAATCAGTCGAAGATACGATCAAAAGAGTACATCCACTTGCGTGACGCCATCGCTACTGAAGGAAACTCCTCCAAAATAGGTTGTTTTGCCATTCTCCCAGATACTTATGTTGGAAGCCGGCGCCACATGCATGAGTGCGCTCAAGATCATCGCTTGATTTTTTAGTGAACATTAGAGGCCCTACATCCTTTGCTCCCTTGCGTACTGTGGATGGCGTGCTGTGCGCCACTTTTCCGGAATTAAAATTTGCTCGATAACGATACAAATTGGGACTCAACGCTCGCCGATGCAACCACATTGGCTGAGATGGCTGGACCGGATGGACGAGATGGCAGACGACATTTTGCACAGAGTTCGCACGACAAATTTGAATTTCAATCTTGAAATTAAAAACGAAATGCGCAACGAAGCGTTAGTTATTAGCGAAGACATGTGCGTGTTCATGTGCGGCAGCCTGATGTCAACATTGGGAATGCCAGAGCCAAACCGTTCGATGCACGATGCATTCAATCGCGACTTGCAACGGAGCAAGACTATGATCGAGATGAGCTGGACGAAAGAGTCCGAACTAATGTGCCTCGGTTGAATGTCAAGCAGAATTACGTGTACGATTCGCTTATGATGGTTGTTGACGAGGGAACGGGAGGCATTTACTTTCTCGAGGCTAGATATGGCAAGATATTCGTCATTTCGTTGATTAGGTTAAATTCTTTTGAATTCAGTTCGTCTCCGGTTTTTATTTTCGCATACATTTACCGATTTACGTTTGAAAACAGAAAGGTGATCGCAAAACGCAAACATTTTTCCGTTTTTTAAACGGAAAAATTTTTCTCGCCGAAAGGAAAAGTAAACGGATCTATATAAACAAAACGAATCTTAATTGCAAAAGGAAAAAAATAGATGACTTATTGATGCATTAAAACAGGGGTGTCCAAAATTAGTTTACAGCAGAGCAATCACCAATACTGCCAAACAAAAACACAAATACTAATAAGGGAACAGTGCAAACTCGAAGAAAAGACAATGAAAAAATAATAACACAAGTCGGATTAACACCAATCAGAGAAGAGACAAACCCGACTTTTACTGGACGGTTCGGATACACACAAAGATGTTTGCATGTGTTGGGCTTTCGGTATGCTGGTACACAGCACAAACTGTGTATGCATACAAGAATTGGTTTCCAAAAACAAAAGAGCTCGCAGGGCAATGGGCCTGGGCATCGCTGCATTAAAATATAACTGACACCATAACCAGGGCATTTTATTTTTATAAATAATTATACTCGTACTCAAAAAGAGTATATTTTATTTGTGGTAAGAGTGGATGCCTGTCTGTCTTGATGAGCGCCTAGATCACAGAGACTATAAGAGCTTGAGCAACCAAATTTTGTATCCAGACTGCTGTGATATCACACTGTTACAAGTGTATTTCAAAATTTCGCCCCACCTCCTTCCGCCCCTACAAAAGACGAAAATCTATGACAGCCACAATTTTAAAGATACGATAAAGCTAAAAACACATGTTTCCAAAATCCACTGACTGAGTACGGGTATAAGTAGAGTCGCGTCCCCAGAAGCGACTTACACGTTCCTTCTCGTTTTTATACCCGTACTCAAAAAAGAGTTAAGGGGTATATTAGATTTGTGGTAAAAGTGGATGTGTGTAACGCAGAGAAGGAAACGTTTCCGACCCCATAAAGTATATATATTCTTGATCAGCATCAATAGCCGAGTCGATATAGCCATGTCTGTCTGTCCGTCCGTCCGTCCGTCTGTCCGTCTTGTTGAGCGCCTGGATCTCAGAGACTATAAGAGTTAGGGTAACCAAATTTGGTTTCCAGACTCCTGTGATATCACACTGCTACAAGTGTATTTCAAAATTTCGCCCCGCCCCCTTCCGCCCCCACAAAGGACGAAAATCTGTGGCAGGCACAATTTTAAAGATACGATAAAACTAAAAATGCAGTATCGT